CATTAAAGGATAAGAATACGCAGACCGTGGCAGAATTATGTTACCAAGTCTCTGCTGACCACGGGTGGCTGGGTATTATGTGCACTGATAACGGTAGCGAGTTCTGCGATGACGTAACAAAAGAGAGGTGTGCAATATAAGCCGCAAACGCAAGGCGCGAATGAAACGCGCCATAGAAGACTTAAGTTCTTCTTGAGTAATGCATTAACGGATGATGCAGATGATTGGCCGTACCACCTTGAGTGGGTACAAACACAGATGAACGAGTGTGCTGATCTGGTTACAGGAACTACACCCGCTCACTATTTTCGTGGCAGATATAGTGAGTTACAAATCCCCTTTAACAAGGACGAACCTGATCACCATGAGTTACCATGGTAAAAGAAGGTACAACGTATTTAAACGTTGTATATCCTTGCTTGCGAGAAATACGCAATATGGCCTTATTAAAAAGGCAAAAGATTTGGAACACTACCAACAGAGTATCAGGTTGGTGACAGAGTTAACATCCGTCAACATAATTCCGATGCTACTGTATTAACATCTAAATGGATAGGTCCATATATAATCTGTGTAGCAGACGCTAAAAATGGAACGTGCGAGGTAAATAACCCCGATGGTTCTAGTGTGCTTAATATAGGTACAAGTCGTATTCCGAAAACAGAGAATATACTCGCAAGAAGACATAATTCTAATGCCCCTCTTGATCGTTCTGAATTTAAAGACATTATATGAAGAACGGATAAGAAAAGCTATACATACTATCGTACACGCTTTATAGACGGTACAATAGCTGAGTTGACTTCAGATGTTTTCGATAATCAAGACTATTTATAAGCCTTTGATCGAAATTGGCGTAAACGCCTGCAATAAGTCGCAAGCTGAAAAAGATAGCATGATTCCATCGTCTGAAGGAACGGAAGTTGAACTTATCCGCCTACAGCATTTATGCCGAGCTTTAATGCTCATCCTTCATCACCACGGACCTACTGGACCTAAACCCAAAGCTCACAGGGTAACAGAGAACGCTTAACTTCTCCGCCTGAGAAACATTAACTATATGTCATGCTACCTAATGTTTCGAGCCGTTTTTCCTTTCTCGCTTTTTGACCCATAATCAGCTTGAGTGAGCAACTTGCTTCTCATGGGTCTCAAAGCTGGGTGGAGGCTGTGTAATAAGCCGGGCCTCCACATTAGACTCTATGTTATAAACGTACTCTTAAGCAGTACGTAAATTATAAACGTACTCTTAATAGTACGAATAACATAAGTTTCCTAAATATACTCTTAATAGTACGAGGAACTTGAGTTTCCTAAATGTACTCTTAATAGTACGAGGAACTTAAGTTTCATAAAATGGGTTTTAATGGTTTTATTAATTAATACCTTTTCCATTTTACATATGAGATATTTGTACGAGGCAATTAAAAGGCCTCAGTAAAATACTAAACATGAAGAGCTGGTCTAGTTCTATTAATATAACTTTATTTACTTTCCAACTTTATATATATCTGAATACTCCGGTAGCGAGATGGCTCAACCGAATATAGGTTTCTAGGGACTATTAACGTTACCTAGTTGATCCTCCGATCAGCCAACCAAATGTGCCAGTCTGATGAAGGCTAAGTCGGTAGTTCTTGATAAATTGCATGTTATTGGTTAAGGCAATTACTAAGGACATCAAGAGTAGTTTTATTTTTTTAATTTATTTTTCTAAGATAAGACTTTATTAGTCTCTCGAATTCGCCCCAATGAAACATACCATAGTTTCTAATAGAGCGACAATGAAACACTAAATAAAATCCCTTCGGCGGAAACAGTGCTGAGAGGATTATACATAGGCAATGTCTCAGCCTCACAATCCCTAAGAGTATTGCTATTTTCACGAGGCATACCTAACTTTACTAAAAGTCTCATTTCGTTTATTTACTTTGATATTTTCGCGATACTTAGAATTTACCAACGCGTTTATTTACTCTAAGGCGTTAATATCGCCTTAATAGACCGAATCTTATATATACTTATCGATCGATTGTGATTTTTGACACGCATGTCCGCTGCTGAATTAACCCTAAAACAATAGTTCACTGATATGAGAAGTGAGGTTTGTAATCTTAGAGGTGACAATTCTAAAACCAATATAGCAAGGAATACTGTAGCGAGACTATAAAATATTTGTGGAAGCGGCATCTACTAAATATCTAGCAAACATAAAACATAAAATGCCTCTGCTTGATGTATATCCGATATCATTTGAAAGATTGTAGCGAGCTTGAAGATTTTAACGGTTTCATAAATAGTAATGTCATCCTTACATGCTTCCATATTGAGGACTGGATGAACGTGTTTGCTAGAATCACACAACACACTAATTGACCCTGTGGTATTGTATTGTTTTAAAACATCGCCAGTATGTCAATGAGTACGGAAGGGCAAAAGATCTAGTTTCAATTATATTTTGCAACATTGGCACAATTGTTCTTCGCAGCATGAATAAAGGTCGCGCTGAAGTATCATCAAATAGCTGCTGACTTGCTGGTTTTAGATATATATTTTATACAAATGGTTGTGTGATCGCGCTTTATTAACTATACGGACACAAAGTTAGCATGTAAATATATGAAAATCTACACATGAACTGTTGTATGAATGTATACTATTAAGCAACACAAAGCTATACTGATGATACATATACACAGCATATATCCAGTACCGCGACAGTATCTTGATAATACACTCTGCTGGTAATATATAATACGTATTAAATATACATATGCAGCTGTGTCAGCTGCATGTCGAAGATTTAATAAAGTTCACTTGTCGATAAGGAACATGATCAAAGCATTTGAAAGGCTAGCTATTGATATTGCAACAAAAATATTTTTCTCCGGGAGAATAAGAAAATGTACTTAGATGGAAAGCTGAGGATATAGCAAATATGTTAATCGCATAACCATAGACTATGTGACATCGTTAGAGAGGCCATTTCGATGCGTTGTCTCTAAAGTCATTACAAGTGGTCCAGATTTTTTTTATGGTCAGTGCCGATTTTGTAAATAATAAAATAAATAACAATTATATTAATATCCTCACCTTTTTCCCAGACAGGCAATATTTGTACTTTTTTTTTTCAAGTGGTCGGTTGTTGAGGCTGCTGACAACCACTCTGAATTTGTAAGCTTCAAGTTTTTGCTTCCCGTAGTACCACATCTGTAGAGCCACATTCCCTACTCGTTTGGAAGATAATACCACGGGAACGCCCGATAAGTGTCAAACTCGACAGGCTGCTGAGAAAAAGCGCAAAGCAGCGGCCGCTACACCAAGCCTAAGGAAAAATAGATTGTGCACATGATGCTTTCCATCAAATAGAACTGTTCAACGCCGCTATTTTTGAAATAAATAATAATATCCATATTTCACCATGCAACAACGCTGACGAAGAAGTGCAAGCGGTGCGCTGTAGGCTTCGTTATGCAGGGTATAAGGGCACGTGCCCTATTGTAAACTCAGTTGCGGACACTTACAACCATAAAACTTTAAACCCTACGGCTGTGCCGACATCAGGAAGAACTCAACAAAACGTTGGTCCAACAAAGAGATCGCGGCAATGGCCCGGCGCCAATACTACTACCAATTGGTTATGGATAAACCGCCAACCTCAAACCGAGACACAGCCAGACACGACAGCTTCAATCGCTGCTTCGAATCTACACCAATCCGGCTCTGTGCTATAATTGTAACGAATACGTACATGTTAACATTGCTCGACTACCGCACCGATGGCTGTCTCCGCCCTGTCTGCCCCGGTAGCCACAAGTTCACTACCAGCCACTTTACCTGCATCCAACAACTGATTCGA